CTGTCAATTGTCATTCCTTTTTCCCTACTGTTTCTTCTATTACTTTGTTTCATCAGCATTTCTTTTGCATTTTTACTTTTATTCCTTTTATTTTTCATTTTTCAAATTCACAAACCTTTTTACTTTTTTTGCAAAAAATTTCCGAGATCCAGGATTTTTTGAATTTCACAAATTTCTTTAAAATTAGTCAATGTTATTCAAATTTGCATGTTTTTAATTCATAATTTTTTTCACAAACTTTTTAAATTTATGAATATTATTCAAATAAGCGAATGTTTTTCAAACTCATGAACATATGTTGAATTTACAAACACTTTTCATATTCGCAAATTTTTTCTAAAGTCACGAATAGTTTCTGAATTTGTGAACTTCTTTTGTATGTTGGGTTTATATTTTGAAATCATGAAGCTCTTTTGAATTCACTAACTTTTCTTGAATTTCTTGAAAAAACAATTCACAATTTTTAATACGTTGAACATTTTTTATATTTTTATAAATTCAAATATTATTGAATTTTGTGAACATTTTCTGAATTCATGAAGCTTTTCTGAATTTACCAACTTTTTTGAATTCATAAATTTTTAATCTGTGAATATTTTTAAACTTCTTGAAGTTTTGAAAATCACTAACATTTTTTGAATTCCTGATAATTTTTTGAATACATGAACATTTGTCAAATCTGGAAAAAATATTCAAACTGATGAACATTTTTTAATTTGCGTACATTTTTTACATTTTTACAGTTTTTAGTATGGTAGAGAAAAAACAAAATCATAGATACGAAGCTACTTCTGGGCCGTTCTTGAAAAGTCCGAACTCTTTCCAACCGCCGCCTCCTCTTCCAAGAAAAGCTTGGGTTCGTGCCTCTCGCCGGTTCTGCTGCAGGTCCGCCTCGTTTCCGGTGGCCCTAGGGCCATGGGGGCGCGGTGGATCCTGGCAAGGGCCGACGGGAGGGCTCCGTTGTTAGTCGTTCCTTTAAGATTTGTTAGGGTTTGTGTCCTACTCAGGAAGACGAGACGGCGATGGCTCCCTGAAGATGAAATAAAGGTCTTCCCGCTTAGTCCCCGTTCCGGTGGTGCGTCTAGCATCGTTGGTGGGCGTGTGGAGGTGTGTCTCCGGCGAATCTATCCTCGATGGATTTGCTCGGATCTGATTGTGGTTCGTCTATGTTCGTGTGTCCTCAGGTTGGATCCTCTCGATATACGTTATTCTTCATCAGCGACGGTTGCTGTTTTGGTGCGCTGGTCCTACGGGGCCTTAGCACGACGACTTCCCTACTGTCTACTACAACAAGTTGTGCCCGACTCCGGCGAGGGAGGGGTAATGACGGCGGCGCGCCTTTGGCTCGCTTCAGTGATTGTAGTCGTTGCTAGGTGGTCTACGGATCTGGATGTAATTTTTATTATTTCTAGTGTTTGTTGTACTGCCATGATAGAAGATGAATATATTGAAAGTTTTATCGAAAAAAATAAATAAATAGAAGTCACCAACGGAAGGTAATGGGTCGGCTCACCCCACGCGCGACCAGCGAGAGGGATGTCTGGACATATGCGCACTACGCTACTAGCGAGTTCTATATAGAAGCTCCCAGAGCAGCGGCCCAGATATGTTGAGGTGGCAGTGACGCGCAGCTTTGTAACCAGCCAACAATCCTGTGCGTTCACATGGGAGATCCAGCGGCCGATGAACTTCAAACACTATGCGAAGTCGTAGCTAGCTGAGTTTTTGAACATTTTTCAAATTTGCATACATTTTTAAGTTTTTTTAGTGCCGTAGAAAAAAAGACAACACCCCAAAATCATACCTATTTGTCTACGTTACAGAAGTCAGCGGCCGAAGGTAATGGGGCCGGCCCATCTAAAAAGGAAGAAAACTCCCAAAACATACTCTCTCCGTCCGAAAATACTTGTCATCAAAATGAATAAAAAGGGATGAATCTAGAAATAAAATACATCTAGGTACATTCCCTTCTATTCATTTTGGCGACAAGTATTTCCGGACGGAGGGAGTACGTACTTGGCTACCAGCGAGAGGGAGAAGTATGGACGTGTGCGCCTGCGGGCGATCCGATTGTAGTGCTTGCAGTGAGCGCTATGTACAAGCTCCCAGAGCAGCGGCCCTGATATGTTGAGGCGGCCATGACGCGCAGCACTGTAACGACCCGACAATCTTGTGTGTTCATACGGGAGAGCGGACGGCTGACAAACTTAAAACACTGTGGAAAAGCCAATGCTAGCTGAGTTTTACTGTCTTTGTAATAATATAACTAGCTGGGTTACCCGCGCATTTGCGCGGCTAGATTAGCTAAATATCATAAATTTATGTCTTACTTTCCATCATATTTATATTATTAAAGTGTTGTTACGTGGGTACTTTAAATTATTGAGAACTGTGTAACCATAATATTTTCACTATCAGTTTCAATCAAAATCAGGTGCACAAATGGAATTTATTAAATAAAGATACATCAAGTTGCTTGTAAGAAACATTGGTGTGTAACAAAGGTAGATTGTCGTGAAATTGCAATTTTCTTCATTCTTATATATTTTTCTTCCGGTCTTTCTTGTACCTTAGAGCCCATAGGATTTTCTTACAGAGGACTAAAACATAATCATGTTCCTCCATCCATCTCATTTCCAGCCACAATTTTCTTTTGATTCTCTGCTCCATTTTCTCAACCTCTTTTCGTGCTCCCTTCTGGCTATGCATGTTTATACATTTAAGCAACATGTGCATGTTGATACATCAACATGATGAATGTTCTGTTATTAGATATCTCGTCACTATATATTCAATGTTATCAAATGTAAAGTATATTGTGAAATTTATTTTATATATTATTCCACATTCACGTGCCTATTCATTTCTATACATGACTATTTAATAATTTTGCTATTTAGAGAACTCACATGGAGTAAAATCAATTTATCAGTTTTTATGCAATTGTTAGTTAATTTTTTGTATTTTATAGATTATTAAAAAGTAGTTGTTTATGGTGTTCATACGAATTATAAATAAATACAGACTTCTAATACATTTTGAGAATTTTTTCCACTGCGTAGGAGAACGTCAAATTTCAATATTTTGAAATAAATATAGTTGTATTCTTAGGTTTAACCTATAATATTTTTAATAAATTTATTCTGAAATTTCTCTACTTATGTTTCATGTAGGAGATGTACAAAAAATGCTAATGATATGTATTTATCGGTATATATTTAACATATTTATTTAATCAAACAATAGATAAAAAATCCCTCACTTGCTTGTCAAGTACAGGGGTTTCCGCTGAATTCCCATGGAAATAGTTAACTGGCTGTGTTATATGGTTTGCCTCAAGTCCTGAGATATCGGATGAGGTGGTTGCTTACGTAAAAATCTGACGTGTTTGTTTGGGATTCTGATTTTGAAAGGTCTAGAATCTGGGAATCTGTAGCTGAAGCCCAATCGAAGGCCACCATAATGTATATATGCATGCATTCACATATGGCAAGTTTAACAAATCCACATGCTGTTCGTAAAAAAAAGGAAAACAAATTTATATGCGTGATGCGCCTAGTTGCAAGCAAATTGTCTTATGTGATTTGCTTATCTACTTGAAGCACGTCCACGTGCGTCCGCGTCTGAGTCTTCTTGCTCATGTCTGTATGATCAGCTATGTTTTGCCCCTTTGACTGGACGTCGGACATGTTTTAATTTAACATGCTTGGTAATTTTTTCATACGTGATGGATTGGGACTATGAGTTCCCTTGTATGTACGTGTTTAGATGGTATGTGTCAGCTTATAGATTTATTTGCACGTGTCTTCCAAACTTTAAACCCGAGTTGTTTTCTTTTATGTGCTTACTGTGAGCCATTACTTTTCTCCTATTTTAATAATTTAATAGATTTTCATAATTTAGCTATTTATGAATTTTGTGAAGTACATATATCTCAGCTCATCTTTGTCCTAGTCAAATGCTAATTTCAATATTATTTTTAAATTTAGCTATTTATGAAATTTGAGATGTAAATATCAAATATTTATTTACTTTGAATGATGAAACATGTGTATACTTTTTTATTTGAGAAGTAATATGAATTAATTTTATCCAGTGGTTATGATATTGCTAAGAAGCAAATGAGCCAGCCAAATGAATTATTAACCAATGACAACAAAGTGATGTCATTGTTTGTAGTTTGTAGGAAGCTTATATACTACGAACTTGATTGCACCACTTTTGCCTTCACTACGTACACGTGCAAACCTGGTTGACTCCAGTTACATTATTGTACGTGACATGTGAAACAAAACTCTGATTCGTCAGTTTTGTTTGGAAAGTTTTTTCCTTTTCTGTTTGCACCATTGCACCTTTACGGTACGGTATTCTGCACTGAAGTGGTGATCTAAAAAACTCTATTCTACACCGAAGTTGTATGGCTGGCCAGTCAAAACCGGCACGGCATCACTTTTTTTCAAGTAGTACAAAATAATGACTTGCTGATGTCAATAGATGTCCGGTTGGACTTGTACTTAGGCATAATTCCAACTCATATGCTGCGTTGCTAAGCTTTCCTTTTTTTTCTACAGCAAGTTGCCTTAATCTAGTCCGTTCATATTTCTTAACTTTTTGAGCGGTGGATCTCTACCGTTACTTTTCTATCGTTTTAAGTATATAATAGATAGATAGATAGATAGAAGATTGGAATCACCGATGTCTTGCCGCGAGCCTAACAATATATAGGAACTGGAGTCGGTAGTGTGCTGCTAAGAGCAAAGTGTTTCCATGCAGAATACGTTTTGTGTGTATCAAATCAAGCATACGGTTCTTTCTGTTAGCTAAGATAGTGCGAGTTGAGACAAGCGTCTCAGCCCCGAGGGATATAGTGCATATATACGTAAATATACAGATAGTATACATACAGCAAGACATATATAAAGTACAATATTGAAGCCCTGAACCTCGAAAGAGTCATGCAGAATATGTAGGTACTTTTATTATAGATAAACAGACTAGTGTTATGCTTGTCGCTTCTTCAGCTTCACAATGAGCCCATTTTCCATTTGCAGTATACAGGACGACTTGGGCCGGATGCTCTGCCCTTCTAATACCTCCACATCGAAGTTCCACAACACTGTGGCGATGATGATCTTCATTTGCATAACCGCAATGTCCTTGCCAGGGCATATCCTCGGGCCTGAGTTGAAGGACAAGAACTTGTGAGACGGTACGTACCTCAGCGTGTTGCCGTCCTTTGAGAGCCATCTGTGTGGGTTATAGTCCAGACAATTCTCACCCCACACGTCCCTCATTCTTCCCATGGAATAGATGGAAACAAAGACTGTGTCACCTGCATGCACCTTGTGGCCACTCGGCATGATATCCTTAGTGGCCACCGTCTTGCGCTCCAAAGGCGCCGGTGGGTAGAGCCTGAGAGTCTCATACAAGGTGGCTCGTAGATAGACCAGAGACTTGATCTCCTCTGGCTCAAAGATCACCATGGCACCCGCACCCGTGGGTGCTTTTTGTAATGCAATTGGTAACAATTCATTACGGATAGTTGCCACGATGTCAGGGTTCTGAGCGAGGTTGTAGAAGATCCATGTCAGGGTCGTGCGAACCGTGTCCCGCAGAGCGAGCATGAGGCCAATGAGCCCCGCACAGAGAAAGTCGTAGTCGGCGAAGTCTGGGTCGTTGATGTAGGAAGACAGAATATCCACACCCTCTTGTTCCTCATCATTACTAACATGTACTTTGTCGATGTTCCTCCGTTCGATCATCTTTGCGATGAACACTCGTAGTACTGTGTGCGCTGCACCAAGCTTTCTCTCAGGGCCAATGTTTAGCCACCTCATCACCTTCCAGCAAGAGGCTGGCATCATGTGCCGAAAAAAGCCTACTTCCATGACCGTATCCATGGCAACTGGGATGTCCATGGGCGGCATGTCTGTGGAAAGAAGGCCAGGGTCCACGCTAAATAGAGCCGTAGTGGCCAAGTCAAACATAAACCTTGACATTAGTTCCTGCATGTCAAATAGAGCGTTGGTGCTTGTCATGTGGCAAAACAACGGGAGAAGGTTGTTCACCACCTTGTCGCGGCAGCAAGCCTCCATACTGGCAACCAACCGCGGGCTGCTGAGTACAGTATGGATCTTCACTCGTGGACGAAGAGCTCGTGCGCCGTCGACGTTGAAGAGGTTGTCACCCATGATGTCGAAAATGGCAGCGAACTCCGCGCCCTTGGGGAAGTTGGTGTAGTTTGTCGTGAAGATGTGGCGGATGTTTGCAGGGTCGCAGGTAACGAAGAACCTCATTCCGGTCCCAGGTGGGCCATGCGCCCTGAAGTTGTGGCCGTTACCGGCGAGAACCAAGGTGAAATAGTCAAGCAAGTTGTGGACGTTGACCAGCAAGGAAGGGAACATGTGTATTATTGGCCAGTTTATGGGGAGAGCTGCTGGGTTCTTTGATCTACTACGAGACCTAAAGTACAAGTACATGGGAACGAGTAGCACGAGTGTGGAGATGAGCAACTCCAGACGGAATGGAATCAACATTGTTTATCACTACTGTGGGAGGATACACACTACTACATGTCAATGGTTTCATTTATAGACATGACCCCTCAATTTAAGCTCGTTGGTCGTGTGCACATCTTTTTGCATCATGTACTGCATATGGACCAGGGAGGGGCGTTTTGGCTCCCGGGAGCATATGCTCCTGGATGAACAGTAAATTAAAAAAAAAGAAAAAATATAAAATAATTGAATTTGGTGGTGGATTTTCGATATGGACCAAGCAATCATTAACCTACTAGAAAGATACTGTATGTTTTAGTACCTCCTATATGAAGAGTTCTACAGTCGACCAATGTTCAAATCATCCTTAATTAGCAGTTGATCAGTAGCCAACCACTCTTTTCCGTTTTTCTTCGAGGATCTTTTTTAGTTATTTAGTAATGGGTATCTATCGTGACGGTTAGCTGTAGCATATAGTCTTTGCTAACAATCAAAACGTGCCAGCTAACAAAGCTAATTCTTCCACACAAAAATGTGTCTGCTCCTAGCTAGGGAACCGGCAGTTGCATTTAGACAAGGATGTTCGATCATGATGTATATAAATATAGATGGGTTCCTTCTTCCATGCTACCGGATCACAGTAGCTGTGGAGGAAGATGATTTTGTCAGAACTGTTGCCACTTATTAGCCATTTTGTATCCATATTTATTTCCACCGATTATCTTATCGCGACATATATTTATATCCATCATGATCGTGTACCGGTAGCAGGCGAAGAAGGATGCCTAGTACTTTATATCCATTGTCGCCATCCTTCCTTGTGAATGTTTTTTTGAATTAAAACGAAATTTTATTCATTAGCAATAACCAATACATCGTTTGTAAGAAACGTTACAATTTCACTAATAGGCTCCTTAAACCAATCCGAAGTCGAAAAAAATCTAGCTAATCTAGCAAATTGATGTGCTACTTTATTAGCCTCTCTATTACAATGTTCGAATTTAATCATAATAAAATCACAAGCATAGTGATAGCAGTCATCGAAGATTGCCGCCGCCGCTCCCGTCGACTGTCCTCCGTCCTGCATGGTCTCAATCACCTCCAGATTGTCAGAGTTGATGATTAGGCGATTACATCCCGCCCTTTGTGCTAAATTTAGGCCAAATTTGACAGCTAAGGCCTCCGCCATGATAACATCCGCGCAGTAGTCTGTCTTTCCATTCCCTCCTGCAATAAATCTACCCTTGTCGTCTCTCAATACTGCCCCCATCGTACCCTTCAGCAAGTCAAGGTCAAAAGAGGCGTCAACATTGAGTTTCACAAATCCCCTAGGAGGACATTTCCAACCCCCCTTTTTCATGGACGCCTTTGAAGATGATGCATTTACAAAATTATATGTAAGAGCTATGATCCCCATTGAGATCTGAGTCACATTTTGAGTTAATTCCTGGTGCACTAATTTCCGTCTTTCCCACCATATATACCAAACTGAGATAGCTATCATTTCTCTATCATTTTCATGCCCCATAATGCGCAAGGCTTGATCTGGAAGGAGTAATAGGTATTCCAATGTTGCCTCTCCAGCACGATCAATCTCACGAGCTCTCTCAATAATCATATCCAACCCTAACCTTTTCCAAACCTCCTTCGCTTTTCTACATAGGAAAAGCAAGTCCTTCGTATCTCTACACCCTGAGAGCAGGTAGGGCAAGAGGGCAAGACCTTCATGTGTCTATTAGTGAGTGTTGTCCGACATGGGAGAGTGCCATGTAGTGTCCGCCATAAATTTTTTTGACATCAGCCGGATAAGATAACTTCCATATCTGACACCATATAGGGTAGGTGTGCTCCGTCCCATCCCATTGGAAAATTTTAGTTTGCTCCCATACTGATAGTTCCACTCCACAGAGTAAGCAGACCGCAGCGAAAACATACCATTTTTCGTAGGGTTAATTATCCTTTTGCCCTCAGTGGTGTCCATGTGCTCAGTTTTGCCCTCAGATGCGAATTGTGCTCAGTTTTGCCCTCAGATCGGGCGCACCGACTCGTTCCGTGAACTCTGCCGTCTCCGTCAGGTCAACCTTCTGACTCGGCCCTTACAGGTGGGACCAGGCGACAGAAACGGCCAATTTTATTCAGACCGTTGCACGCGTGGCTTGTGGGACCCAACAGAGAGCCGTTGAGCAGAGAGCAGTTGGCGGGTGTGCTATATAAGCGGGCGACAGCGGCGGTGACCACGGCGACAGAGAGCACGGTAGTGACCACGGCGAGAGAGAGAGCACGGCGGCGGGAAGCTAGCTGTGGAGGGCGCGGCGCTGGGAAGCTAGCAGTGGAGGGCGCGGCGGCGTTGAGATCCCTTCGGCTCCGAGCTCCATGTCTTCCTCAAGCTCCCGCGCCACCTCGCAGATGCAGAGCCGGGCGCGTGTGGACATGCCTGTCTTCGTCTGTCCGCGGTGCCGGGCGGGCATTGATCAGAGGGTTTCTCAGACACCGAGGAACCAGAATCGTCTGTTCTACGTGTGCAGCGAGAATGGGGTAAGAATCGGGGCAATTGCACCATTTTCGTGGTCGGGATATTTGAGCAATGGGTTGATCTATTTGGTGTTCATGCAGGTGACATGCTTCTTTCTTTGGGTCGATGCTCTGGCCAAGACTCTGATGAATGAACTGCAAGAAGAGCATGAAGAATGGTTGCGCATGCTGCCACGAACGGCAGTGGCGCACCACGAGCTCCGGAAGAAGGGATGGAGGGCGAAGCACGCACTGATAGAGAGCTAGCTGTTGAGCTTAAGATGTTGAAGAAGAAGGTTAGGAAGCTTGAAGATCAAGCACTACCAATACCCATTTGCAAATACTTTTGGGCATTTGTAGGTATGGTAATCGCACTGGTTGTAATGTTGAAAATGTATGGAAAGGCATGAATTATGGAGGAATTTGTAATCTTGAAATTGTTTGAGAAATCCACCTAGTTTAAATGTTGGTTAAAGTTGTTTAAAGGTTGTTTAAATGTTGAAACAAAAAGAGAAGAAGTGACCAACATTTAAATATGTTGGAAAAAAGAGAAGAAATTAGGAATTCAGAAACTTTTGATCAATGAAATGCAGCTCTCTCCTCTGCCTTTCTGTCCAAAAAAAGGTTGCTCTTGGGCCAAATTCAGAGCGTAGAGCCAAGTGCAGGCTAGACTAATGGCCAACAACATCCAATTAGGCCCATTCGGGGGTTCTCTTGCGTATTTTTCTGTTTTCTATTCTGATTTAATTTAGGCAGTAAATCATAATGCTAGAACTTTTTGTGGAAGCTAATTGAATTATTCCGGAGCCAAACAGTTAAGGTTAGAAATTTTTTGGAGCTGTTAATTAATCCAATTCAAATACACCGTGATTTAAATCAAAGACCAAAATGTCATGGAAAATGTGCCTCAGCTCTGGTAGAGGTTTACGCCAGGTGCCAAAATAAATGAACAATTTTTAAGGGCATTACATTGAGAAAAACATAATTTTTCTAAAAAATGAAGGGTGGAAAATGCACAAAAAATTGGTGCGGCTGGGGACTTGAACCCAGGACCGCGTGGGTTTGTGGTGTTTAGGGCTGCGCTGGTAACCGCTAGGACAAATGGCAAGACTTTGACATGGATAGGGAAGGAAGGTATACATAGTGAGATTTTGAATTTTTTTTAAAAAAATAGTGAGACCGTGAATGTTTGGACACGCGTGAGAGTGTTTTTCCATTGTTTTGCACTTAAATTTTGGAGGGTTGGAAGGTTGAAAATGTATGTTGCACTACCACATGATTTTGGTCAGAGTGGCACTTGGTCTAGGGATAGAGTGGCACTTGGTTTAGGATTTAAAGTGAATAAATTTGCATGTTAGTTCATGACTTTTTGTTTGAATGAAACAGAGGGCTTCTCAACCCCTCCGATTTTCATTAATGAAAACCACAAGTTCTCAAAGTTCATGACTTGTTTAGGGAAGAAATGATATGTTTGGGCACGGACATTTTTTAACACACATAATAAAGGGAATAAACCCTAATAACTTAGATAAGATGGAACACACCATACCATTGCAATAACTTAGATAAGTTCACAGTTCACAGACACATGACGAAACATGACACGACACGACACGACATAGAAAAGCAACAAAATAAAAAATGAAACATGACGAGCTTGACTCCGAGCTTGAACATCTTCATCTTGACCTTCTTCTTCCATCCTTGGCCGCGCGCGCCCCTTGAACACCGTCTTCATCTTCACACCTCCTCCTCCTCATCATAGGGAAGGGAGTGCATCTGGCCTGGAGCGGGGAAGATGCGTTCGTAGTTGGTGTAGATGTTGTAGACGGTGAAGAAGATGGCCTCGCAGCCGCACCAAAAGACTTGGCCGAGGAGCTTGCGCGCGTCAAACGGGTTGGTGAAGGTGACCGTGAGCAGTAGGAGGATGCCACCACGGTCACGAACCTCGTTGAGGGTGAACATCCTCGGCGAGCCCCGTGGGAGGTGGGCATAGCCGGCTCTGAGGAAGGCGCGGGTGAGTTCGACGGAACCCCTCCACCTCGAAATAGCCCACACACGGAGCTCCCTCTCCACGAGCACGCCCGGTGGGTAGCGCAGCTCCGGCACGACAGGCGGACGGTTGAAGGTCGGCCCGTTGAACTGCATCTTCACTTGGTCTCGCTTGGGGAGGGCTCGGTCGCTTGGGTGTTTGAAGTTGGAGAGGATCGGATCTGCCTTGTGGGTGGGAGAGGAAGAGAGGCACCCCATTTATAGGCATGTGCGTGGGAGAGGAAGAGAGAAAGGATGAGAATGGTGCGTGTGTGAATCCGGACGCGTGTGTGTATCCGTTACGTTTTGCACACTTAAATTTTTGCACAAAACGATGCATGGGACACGTGCGTGCATCTGAATCACTGCATAGTTCTTTGACCGGGCGGTGCATGTGAATCGCTGCCCTAAACCACTGCACTGAACCACCTAGCTCGCCTCGCTAGCCTAGCTCACCTAGCTCGCCTCGCTAGCCTAGCTCACCTACCGCGCCTCGCTCGCCTCGCTCGCATGCATGCACGTCGCCGCCTCCCGTGCATGCAAACCCACGTCGCCGCCTCCATGCATGCAAGGCCTGGAAAGGCTGAGATGGGCTATTTACTGCGGTCTCAGGCCCAGAGCACGAGACGGCCCAACGGTCCAGCCAGCGCGCCCGGTATTTGTTAAAAAAACAATGGGTCTCCCAGCCAATCAGATTGCATCTCGCGGATCGCCCCCCTCCTCCCCGCAGATTCCTTCTAGAAGGGTTAGATCGACGGCCCTTGATCGCCGCTAGGGTTAGATGAACGGTCCTTGTTCAGCGCTAGGGTTAGCGGGGTTTGGGAGGGGTTTGGAGCAGTCAAAGCTATGTTTGACCAGATTTCAAATGAGCATAATAAATTAAATAAAAATCAGAAAAATAAAGAACCTGCGCACATAGTCTTCTTATGTCATATACTAACGATTTAAGTTGATAAAAAAGCTTTACATACATTTAAATGATAAGTTCATGTGTATTGTATGATATCTCGAGTATCTCAAACTCTCTTATATGAAGTGAAGAGAAGTGTTTTGGGGAAATGAACATGAAAATTTCAAAAAACTAACCACAGCTTCATTTTGGAGTGACTAAGAAGGATCCAGGCTTAGTTTTCCATTTTGATGTTTTACACTTGTTTAAATCTTGGTCAAAGTTAAGTTTGACCAGAATTCAAATGAGCAAAACAAATTTAAAAAAAATCAAAAAATGGAAAAACCAGCGCACATAGTCTGTACATATAGAATATATGTGTAGGAAAGTTATTTGGCTAATTTAGACAAGGTCGAATTTTTTTTTGCTTAGAAATGAGGCCGTTTACCCTACCTTTGGACCCCTCTTTTTAGCACATTTTTCATGAAAATTTCAAAAAGCTCACCACAACTTCATTTTGGATTGACTAAGAAGTATCCATGCTTAGTTTTTCATTTTGATGTTTTAGACTTGTTTAAATCTTGGTCAAAGTTAGGTTTGACCAGAATTTAAATGAGCAAAACAAAATTCAAAAAAAATCAAAAAAGGAAAACCATGTGCTCATTCAAACATCATGTCAAACATACTTCTAACATAGGTCCAACATCATCCAACAGAAATACAACATGTCAAGTGATAAATGTTTCATAATACAACATCATCCCTTATTCATAATGTTTCATAATTATTCATAGATAGTGCTGGGGCTTCTGTCTGTTCCTTGAGCTTCTTGCCATCACTTTGCTCCTCGTGCACCTTGTGCTCATTGTTTCTTCTCTTCTTCTCTTGGTTGTCGGTACGTTGCGCGTCTTCTTCAAATCTACCATAGAGCTGTGCAAAACATAAACGGTAATGAGATCATGTCAAGTGATAGATGTACAGTAGTA